AATAATTGGAAGTTGGAAATTTAAGCCAAAAGATTAAGCCCAAGTCTCTTTTCATAGAAAATTAAGGTCAAGTCTCCACCTTCCAATTCCAAGACTTAGAGTCAAGTCATTGATTCAAAAGTAAATTTGGACCACAATTTAGAGACTTAGAAAACCCTCGAATCACTCTACAAGTCGATTTAGAAAACCCTCGAATCACTCTGTAAGTCTTTCTTTCACAAACATATTAATCACAATCTACTTCATTGTAAGCAGGTTCTTTTGTCGTTTTTATCATAAACTTTTATTGCATCAACAATAAATAGCAATACTTTATTTATAATATGGAGCTCATCCGAAGTCTTACCTTTCATTCAGTAATTTATGTATAAGCATAACATTTTAAAAAGCTTTTCAACCCAATCTAAGTACAATTACTCATTAAATATAATAGAGGTTGAGCATGAACTCAAATTTGATTTATCTTAAATTATTGTTTCAAATTTGTATAGATTAAGGTGCCGTTTACCAAATGCTTACCCGGGTAAGCGTTTACCAAGTCATTTTAGTTTACTGGATGAATATGGCAAGGACCAAAAATCTTACCCGGTAAGAGTGAAGACAAGAATCGAGAGTCTTACTTAGTAAGTGAGGATAAGGACTCTTACCATGGTTACTCTTACCATGGTTTGCGCTTACGGGGATAAATTGTTGCATACGATGCGTTTTAGTGAATAAAATTCTTATCCGATAAGTAAATGATGATGTTGAATTTTACCGGTAAGTGCTGCCGGGTAAGTGTTTTGGTAAACGGCCCCTAAGTTTGTGAATCGGTTGTCTTGAAAAGTCTATGTGAACATTTGGAAAAAAAAAACATTAAAAATTTGGATCCTACAAGGACTCAAAGAACCTCCAAAATTACTATACATGTATTTAGTTGGAAAGTATTATTTTTGGACCACAAAGACTAATAAAAAGGGTACTTATTTATCGTTATGTCACTTTCCAATTGGAAATTTTGCACAATTAGATAAGAAAATTAAAATTAAGAGCCTATCCAATCAAAAGAATTGTACAATTCAAAAATCTTTTATTTAGAAAGAAAATTATTCAACAAAATGATAGGTAAAGGTAATCAATGGCTTTGATCCACCCGAGGTCAGTCGGGTGATCCTGGATTTTGCGTTAGAGGTGGAGGGAGGCCCGGTCACTCCTTCTTAACGGTCCTCTTCTTTTCTTCGGTCGACATCTCTTGCTTTTCCGGCCTAGATATGCTCATTACATGGGAGCACAGTTGTTTTGGACCCAACTTCCAATACAAACAGTTTGTCCCCCAACAATAAAGATTAGAAAAATACCAAAGTTCAAAATCAAAAAATAGTAATAATTAATAAAATACATTTTCTAAAAAAATGAAACTAATAAGCAATAAATGCACGTTAAGATGTTTTTGAAAGTAACTTTTTTAAGATGAGTCATCTAAAGTTTACACTTCGACATTTTATTCTATGACTTGGACATGGACACCATGACTTGCGTATTGAAAACATTTCTTGGTCCAAAAGTAATATCATTATTGAACCAAAATGCACGGTCATTGACGATCTACCTCCTAAGACAAAGATACTTTTTGACAGTTGCTGAATGGTTTGGTGCAAAATGATTAAGTGGTCAGAATGATTAAGAGGCTCTCATGATATAGTGTAAAATGAAATATATTTGTTTGGTAATTGTTTACAATGAAATTAAGTTGCTGAATGGTTAGGGGGCTCAAGATACAAAATTATTCAGATGATTTTATAACCATTAAAAGACAGACTATTTTTTTGCCAAACAAGATTAACCTGTTAACGATTCAAAGGCTATCAATTAATTGAATTATTAAAAGATAAACAAACAACCCTAAAATAACAAGTAGTGATGACCAAAAATGGGTGGTCCTGAGTGGTTGAAGGGCGAGCTCAATCCTAGTCTCGATGAAAAAAGCTTCTCCAAAATAAAAAATAAATAAAGTAGGAGATAGATTTAAAAAAAAATCTTAAAATTTCTTAAATTGAAAAATTAATTATTTATTATTTCAGTAATCAAATTGAATGTATTAATTGTTATATCATCTAAAATTTACTTATGAGAAATTCAACGTCTTAATAACATAATTAATGAATCTACAAAATTCAAATATATAAAATCAATTATAATTAGAGTCGAATGATTTTTATTGAATTTTAACTTTTGCTTTTTATCATTTTTTTAGAAAAAATTATAACATTTCGTTTTTTAATAGATTTTTAGCTTTTTGTATTTTCATTTTATAGATTTATTTTTTTAAATGCTCTAAGACAAGTATTTTGTTCACGTTTACATTGGATTATAGCGGGACAAACTCAAACTCTTGTAAAATATATTAGTTTTATTACTAACAACTTAATTCAATAATATTTATTTATTTGATATAAAAACTTCAAGCAAATTCTGGTAATTCCATCATGAATTGTATATATATATATATATATATATATATATATATATATATATATATGTGTGTGTGTGTGTGTGTGTGTGTGTTCAAAGTAGCTGCAAAGGCTTGCACTAAGCAAACACATGCAATTAAAGATAATGAACTGTTCAAAGTTGTTTCTCTCCTTTCTCTTTTTCTTTTTCTTTGTCTTCCTCTCTTTTGCTTCATCCTTTTCCTCTTTCTCTAACTCCACTCATAAATGCTCTACTAAATAGACTCATGCTTTGCTTCTCTTTAAACAAAACCTCTTCTCCATCAATGACACATCTTTTGATTATGATTGTCAACCTTGGTTGGGTTCTAGTTATCATCCGGTTATGATGAACTGGAAYAAAAGCACAAATTGTTGTACATGGAATGGAGTCATTTGTAGCCAATACACAGGTGATGTGATCGCTCTTGACCTTCCCTGTGCCATGCTACGAGGTACCATCCACCCCAACTCCACCCTCTTCACCCTTCCTCACCTCCAATCACTCAACCTTGCCTTCAATAATCTTACYGATTCCCAACTTCCACATGAAATTGGCATGCTCTCCAATARTCTTACCYATCTCAACATCTCTGAAAGTGGATTAACAGGTCAAATTCCTTCAGAAATCTCACTTCTTCCTAAATTGGTTTMKTTGGATCTCTCTTGGAATTTTGATTTGAAGCTTCAACCTCATGTTTTCTACAATCTCCTCCATAACTCTACTTCATTGGAWGAGCTTTTGCTTGACGAGGTTAATATCRCTTCAACTTTACCCATTTATCTTGATATCTCTTCTTCTATGAAATCACTCCATCTCAGCTTCACATATTTGCAAGGAAAATTACCTGACAACGTCTTCAATCTTCCGTATTTGGAAGAACTTGACTTGAGTTTTAACATTAATATCACCGGTCAACTTCCTAATGTTTTCACAAACACTAACATCCCTCTCAAGTTGTTAGATCTCTCATACACCAACTTATCAGGACAATTACCTGACTCAATCAGCCATCTCAAGTCTTTGACTTACTTGGATCTCGCATACACCAACTTATCAGGACAGATGCCCGACTCAATCGGCCATCTCAAGTCTTTGACTTACNATTAAGTATTCTGTTAGAACTCAATTATTATCCTAATTATATTTTAGATTTTTTATATTTAAAATGAGATGTTTATCTTGTAAAATATGTTAATTTTATTACTAACAACTTAATTCAATAATATTTATTTATTTGATATAAAAACTTCAAGCAAATTCCGGTAATCACATCATGAGTTGTATATATATACATATGTGTGTGTGTGTGTGTTCAAAGTAGCTGCAAATGCTTGCACTAAGCAAACACATGCTGCAAATGCTTGCACTAAGCAAACACATGCAATTAAAGATAATGAATTGTTCAAAGTTGTTTCTCTCCTTTCTCTTTTTCTTTTTCTTTGTCTTCCTCTCTTTTGCTTCATCCTTTTCCTCTTTCTCTAACACCACTCATAAATGCTCTACTAAACAGACTCATGCTTTGCTTCTCTTTAAACAAAACCTCTTCTCCATCAATGACACATCTTTTGATTATGATTGTCAACCTTGGTTGGGTTCTAGTTATCATCCGGTTATGATGAACTGGAACAAAAGCACAAATTGTTGTACATGGAATGGAGTCATTTGTAGCCAATACACAGGTGATGTGATCGCTCTTGACCTTCCCTGTGCCATGCTACGAGGTACCATCCACCCCAACTCCACCCTCTTCACCCTTCCTCACCTCCAATCACTCAACCTTGCCTTCAATAATCTTACYGATTCCCAACTTCCACATGAAATTGGCATGCTCTCCAATARTCTTACCYATCTCAACATCTCTGAAAGTGGATTAACAGGTCAAATTCCTTCAGAAATCTCACTTCTTCCTAAATTGGTTTMKTTGGATCTCTCTTGGAATTTTGATTTGAAGCTTCAACCTCATGTTTTCTACAATCTCCTCCATAACTCTACTTCATTGGAWGAGCTTTTGCTTGACGAGGTTAATATCRCTTCAACTTTACCCATTTATCTTGATATCTCTTCTTCTATGAAATCACTCCATCTCAGCTTCACATATTTGCAAGGAAAATTACCTGACAACGTCTTCAATCTTCCGTATTTGGAAGAACTTGACTTGAGTTTTAACATTAATATCACCGGTCAACTTCCTAAAGTTTTCACAAACACTAACATCCCTCTCAAGTTGTTAGATCTCTCATACACCAACTTATCAGGACAGATACCGGACTCAATCGGCCATCTCAAGTCTTTGACTTACTTGGATCTCGCATACACCAACTTATTAGGACAGATGTCCGACTCAATCGGCCATCTCAAGTCTTTGACTTACTTGGATCTCGCATACACCAACTTATNCCGACTCAATCGGCCATCTCAAGTCTTTGACTTACTTGGATCTCGCATACACCAACTTATCAGGACAGATACCCGACTCAATCGGCCATCTCAAGTCTTTGAATACTTTAATACTCGTTCATTGTAGTTTGATGGGTCCTCTTCCCAAATCCCTACTTAATCTTAGGCACCTTACTACYCTATATTTATCATATAACAAGCTTAATGGAACATTACCTTCTTGGTTGTTTACTCTTCCCTCACTGGAAGCTATCTTTCTCTCCAACAACATGTTCGGCGGAAGCTTACCATTGGAATTATTCACCCGACAATCATTAAAGAAATTATTACTCAATAACAATCAATTTGATGGAACGATAGACGTGCTTGATCAAGGATCCATTCAGCAAACATTTCAACAACTCCCGAACCTCACTTTGCTTGATCTCTCATTTAACAATTTTACTGGCGTATGGGAGTTGGATACTTTATTATCAAGCCTCAGGACCCTTGATTTTCTTTCTCTCTCATATAGTGGTTTATCTGTTATGACCAATAATGCCAGTCGCTATGTCAATCCTAATTTTCAAGCCTTGGAGTTAGCATCTTGCAAGATAAAGGTGTTCCCAGAGTCCTTACGAGCCATGAGAAAACTTCAATCTTTAGATCTATCAAGAAATGAAATCGATGGCTACATTAAGGAGCTAGGAGGAAATGAACTGGTTTACTTGGATCTCTCACATAACATCATAACAGGGCCATTCCCTCTATCAATTTGGAACATGGAAAATCTACGATATTTGAATCTGTCCAATAATCACTTTAGTGGAGTGATTAAACCTGGAGATATGAACTTCTCTCCTTCAGTTATAGATATGGGGAACAATAATTTTAATGGCACCATTCCACATGTGTGTGGTGGAGAATTAACGGGGCTTATTTTGAATGGAAATCAATTTGAAGGTAAGGTGCCAAGTTGCTTTTCCAAATGCTCATACTTGCAAGTGCTTGATCTGGGAAACAACCGCTTAACTGGTGCATTCCCTGACCAGTTAGGACGTCTTCGATATCTGAATGTTCTTGTCCTCCGATCAAACAAGTTTCATTGTCCCATAGAAAGAAGCTCTTTTATGATCGAACACCCATTTCCTAGTTTGAGAGTTCTTGACTTATCTCAAAATGAGTTTGGAGGCCATCTCCCTGGAAAATATTTTCAAATTTTGATGTTATGAAGAATGTGGTCAATGATGGCACGAATACATATCTAAATCTTTACAGCTCTACCATCTTTTACTCTATCATTGTTGTGGTGAAGGGTCAACAACCCTTATTTGAGAAAATTTCAAACGACTACACGATTGTTGATCTATCTGGTAACAAATTTGAAGGAGAGATTCCAAACGAAATATGCACTCTTAACTCGTTGATAGTGCTCAACTTATCCAACAACCACCTCAATGGTCAGATCCCACATACTATAGGTAACCTCTCTGAGATTGAATCATTAGACCTATCCGGAAACCAACTATCATGAAAGATTCCTCAAAGTCTTGCAGACATCACGAGTCTTGAAGTCTTAAATCTCTCGCAGAACCTTCTGGTGGGACGTATTCCTGGTGGAACACAGTTGAGTACATTCAACACTTCATTCGAAGGGAATCCGGGACTATGTGGGTTTCCGCTGCTCAAGGAGTGTGAACATGCAAGTGCCCCACAGCTTGAAGTTGATGGAGAAGAAGATAGTGTATTTACATGGAAAGTGGTGATGTTGGGATATGGATGTGGAACCCTAGTCGGATTGTTGTTGGGATATTTCATGTTGTCAACAGAAAGGCCAAAGTGGTTGAATGCAATTGCTGATGAAATAGAGCAAATGATCCAGAGAAGGCAAAACAAGAGAAGATAAATCATCAAGATTGGAAAATGAGATTAGGTACGTGTTTCTCATGCATGTTTTCTTTTCTATAAATGTCAACAAAATTAATGCTTGTTATTTTTCTTTTCTAAAATTTTATGACGCAGGTTGGGATGGAGCTATGTTGAATCATCTTATATATGCATGTTTGGAATCATGTTGTTATTAAAGCTTAGAAATAATTTAATCAGTTAGTTTATTTCCTTGTGTCGCACGTTGGTCATAAACTCATTTGTATAGCATTAATATGTAATCTTGAAGACATATATTATCTGTATCAACTCTTGACAACTTGCAGTTGTTAGTTTTGAGTTGTATTAGTTATTGAATGGTTAGAAATGGCCTAAACATTATTGTGATTTATAAATTTATAAAATCCCAACCAATTATTTGAACTATTTTTTTATTAAAAAAATCATTAATGTTTCTTATTTTTAATGATCAAGTCCCTCTACTATTTTTTTGAATGATTTTTTTTTAAACTTTCTCATTCTAAATGAATAAATCCCTGTATATTTTTTCCAACAAAATAAACCATCAAAATTTTAGAATTCGCCAATTTGGTTACCTACATCATTTTAACCCAAGAAAAGCTAAATATAACTTACCAGAAAGATTTTAAAGTAAAACGAAACCTAAATTAATTCTACCGTTCTCAAACCGTGTGTCATTCAAACCCCACTCAAACGCCGGTATCACTCTCCCTCGCCATTCCTCGTCGCCCCATCATTGTCCGTTCTCCATATCTCTATCACACTTTTGGCCCATACTATCAATTTCCCTCTTTTTGATTTGTTTTTATCTATCATCAATGGCGGGGCAACAACGTGATAGGCAATATGTAGAATAGACAACGATGGGGCGATGAGGAGTGACGAGGGGGAGTGATACAGTGTTTGAGGTTTGAATGTCGTAAGGTATGAGAATGGTAAAATTGTTTTGGGTTTATTATAAAACATTCCTAGTCGGTTACATATAGCTTTGTTTTGGGTTAAAATGATGTAAGTAACCAATTTTTAAAAGTTCGATGGTTTATTTTATTAAAAAAATGTTCAGAGACTTAATCGTTCAAAATAAAAAAGTTTAATGGTTTTTCATTAAAAAAAAATAGTTCAGAGACTTAATCTTACAAAATAAGAAAGTTTAATGATGTATGTGTGTGTGTATATATATATAAAAAAATTGTATAAAAATGTTTATGAATAAAATTATTTTAATATTTACTTGATTTTTGTCATCTATAACTATTATAAGATATATAAAATCATCAATCAATTTTTAGGGACAATTGTATCTTGCTCTAGTCGTATGACTAACAACTTGTTCAATCTAATCGAGTCTAATCATACCCTCTTGTCCTGTCTAATTATATCAAACGCTATCAAACAAATTCTTTTGAACATACAACTCACAAAAACCGTAAAGACTTATCAATGTTGTCGGATTTTCACTGCAGCGAAATCATTGATGTTTGAGACTTGAGTAGGTAGGAGGAGAAAAACCAAAGGGTTGAAACCCCAAAGTCTTTCATTCACATGACCCTCCTTTTAGAAATTACGATTACATTTCGTCTTATTAAAATTATAACAATTTATTTATTATATTATATTTTCTAAAAATACTTTTGAAAAATAAAACAATAAATGTGTTACACGATTGAATCCTAAGACCCATCTTGGAACCAATAATTTTTTGAAAAACTTCCCATTGAATTATATATAACATTTATTTAATTGGGGACTTCATTTGAATTTATTATTTTTCTAAATAATCTTGACCGTTTAAAAATAATGTTTGATGTTATATAATATATTTAAAAACAGAGTATAATAACTTCTACACATATAAATGATTTTTTAGATTATTGTCTACCAAAATCAAAATTATTGTCTTATTTTTCATTATATTATATGAATTTGGATTCAAAGATTTCCCACACCCAAACAAAACATTTAAAACTTAATTAATAACTTTTTTTTGGGTTTCAGTAAATAACATTTATACTCTAAACAATAGTAATTTGAATCGTTTACCTAAACATTTATCGGGTAAGCATTTACCTCCTATATTAGTCGTCACATAAGATTCTAAGCTATCAAAACGACATTGAATTATTATTATTGAAATATTTTTTTACACACAAACATTATACAAGTTATTATAATTATGATTTTTGAAATTGAAGAAATCTTAAGAATGAAGATTAAGAGCATGTTCAACGTATTTTCTAAAATAAAAAATATGGATATTTTAATCAATATGGTTTGAAAAATTTATTAAAAAAAT